AGGTTGTGGATGAGTTATTATTGTCGTGAATGGGCCACGCCTTCCTGAGAGGGGCAACGACATTTTTTTTCCTTCGACTACTTTACTATTACTAGTACTACTATCACTATTACTACTACTACTATTACTACCACTACTATTACTATCACTTCTACTACTACTACTACTATCACTATTACTATTATTACTACTACTACTATTACTACCACTACTCACTTCTACTACTACTACTATCACTATTACTACTACTACTACTACTACTATTACTACCACTACTATTACTATCACTTCTACTACTACTACTATCACTATTACTACTATTACTACTACAATTATTACTACTGCTATTACTACTATTACTACTTCTACTACTAATACTGCTACTACTACTATGATTGCTACTATTCTTATTTACATCATTAGAATGGTCATTTAGCCTATTTATTACTGGCATTCTTGTAATTGTGATCAACGTTACCATCGTTGTTAATGATGATGATGATGGTACCATTAAAGACGTATTTTTAGTAAAGTCCTTGTCATAGAAAAACAATTATTTTTAGTAATCTAATTAAAATTCAATGATTTAGTATTCAAATGTTTCCCATATTACCATGTCTGGTGTCATGATTAGGATTCCCATTAGTATTCTATTCTATTATTACGGTTAGTATATCATTATCATGATTATGGTCGATGTCATTACTCTAAGCAAAGATCCATATCTAACTGTGACGTAAAAAATGGTTTGTCGTAGTCACTTCTATCTCTCTTTTCTCCTTTTCTTTTCCCTTTTTTCCTGTACACAGCTGTCCCCCGCGTTTTCCTCCTTTTTAGAAACTATTTAGAAGCTATGAATGGGGGGTAGCAACGTGACAATGAAGCCATAACTCTTAAAAGTAATTATCAAAGATGTGCTCCCTAAGAGTCGGCCATTTTGAACTCTTCCGCGTGGCTGGGAATAAGGCTTCTCGAGGTACTCATTAAAGGCAGTTGACTGTGAACTTGTTATTTCTGTTACAACGAGAGGCATGTTTGGTTGATCCTTGGTAGCCGATGAACATACGCACACACACACACGCATAATACATGTATACACGCGCGCACGCATACACACACACACATATACACGCACACACACACACATACATATACGTAGCAGCAACACACATGACACATACACATAAAAACACACACATGCACAACACACACACACACACACACACACACACACACACACACACACACACACACACACAACACACACACACACACACAACACACGCAACACACATACAAACAACCCCCCCCCCACACACACGCTCACGTTCACACACACACACGCCCACATAAACAACCCTTCGACCTAAACACGCCCTACCGCCCTTAGGGCATTGCACCCTATCCTCCCCGCCCCCTACTCTCCTATTTACTGTTAAAGGGAGCTTTCCGGCATAGCTCAGTCACGAGAGGGAGGGATAAGGGTGAGAGAATTGCGCGCAAGAGTGGGTTGCTGACAGGCGCAAGTGGGTGGGCTGTGGTCTCACTCAACTCCGTGGATTTTGGTCGGACTGATGTGAAGAGAGTGAGTGTGGATGGGTGTTTGGTGTGGATCAGATGAATTCTGTCTTTTTTTCTCTTTGTCTCTGTCTGTCTGTCTGTCTGTGTCTGTCTGGCGGTCTCTTTCTCCTTCCCTTCCTCCCTCTGCTTCTGTTTCTCCCTGTCTCTTCGTCTGTTTGTAGCTCTCTGTCTGTCTCTCATTTTCCCTCTCTCTCCTCCGTCTCCTTCCCCCTATCCTCCCTTCTTTCTGTTTATATCGTCTGTATGTTTCATTCCCCCCCCCCCAATCTTTCCCTTTCCCTCCCTCTCCCTCCACTTTTTCAACTTCTCTTTCTCTTCTTTTCGGTCTCCCTCCCCTCTTTCTCTTTATATACCATTATAGACCCTTGTGTATTGTAATCTATATCTATATTCATATCTACTATCTCTCCATTTATCTATCTGTCCTCTATCTACCTACCTATCTATCACACACACAGACACACAGACACACACACACACACACACACCACACACACACACACACACACACACACACACACACACACACACACACACACACACACACACACACACACACACGCACACGCACACACACACACGCACACGCACACGTACATATATATACATATACATTATAACATATATACATATAAATAAACATATCCATGAGGACTTGCACCCCTTCCCAGCCAACTCACCGTCCTCGTAGGCCGGGACGAGGTACCTCACGAAGGGCGTCATGGCGGAACCCCACTTCGGATGCCCGAGGTTGTTGCAGGTGCCGTCGATGGTCCTGTAGGGGCGCGACGAGGAGCAGGAGGGGCCTGACCGGGGCATCTGGCATCCCGCGGGGGTCAGCTTCCGGCAGTTTTCCTTGTCCATGGCCGTGTTGAGTCTGGAGAGGGAGGTGGCGGCGTTCTCGGCGGTGATGTTGAACCTGGTGAGGGCGTTGGAGTGAATCGCTTTGGTTTGCGTTGGGGAGTAACACACTCACATACATATATATTACACACACACGTATACAAACAACACACACACATATCCACATACACACACACATATCCACATACACACACACACACATATCCACATACACACACACACATACACATATACACGCACATATACACGCACAGATGTAAACACATACACACATACATATATATTCATAATGGATGTAGAAGGAGCAAAATTAATACAACAATATGGGTAACGACAAAACATAAGGGATCTGCAAAAATGGTGAAGCAATGATAAACGCGCGGAATAAATGGCACTTCATCAATGCAAACGGATCCATTTATCAACGACCAAAGAAACTATAAATAACCTCAACAGCAACGTATCAAATAAAAAACACGGAAACTAAACAAAGAAACACGTAATAGGCGAATAAAAAACAAAAGCACTTGTCACTTAGCGAGATGAAATACCCGCGATCACGTGTCTATAGAACCTGTAATTTTCTGGCCGCGGAATACCTAAACCACCGCCATTTTGGTCGTCTGCGTAACAACGGGAGATTGCAAATCGTGGAGGACTATGATCATCGTGAATAAGTTTCGTAAAATCTATAACCCGGTGGTCTCTGCCAACAGGGAAAGTGTGTTGTTGGACGCTAAGTGCTCTCTGCAGTTGCATGCATTTGTTCTTAATATGAGCCATATACACCGTGCAGCGTGTTTACTATGAAGTGATGAACAGTAAACAACTTAAAAAAAAAATCATTGTTTATTTATCTTATTTATTTATTCATTTACTTTTGTGATGAACTTTGAAATATGCGATGTAAAAAAATATATATGTTACTTTGCCTTTCATGTTATGCAGTATTAGAATAAGAAAGTATGACTCACTGACGATAAAAGTTTAGTCCATTTGGATTAACACGAGTTCCTGCCGGTTTCATCCGTGATCGACATGAACAGTCGCGGACAAGGTTCGGCTTTTAACAACACTTTCTTCCTCACCGCATGATTATCAGGCGAAGACACAGATGCATTCAACACACCCACCCACCCACGACACACACACACACACACACACACACACACACACACACACACACACACGCACACACACACACACGCACACACACACACACACGACACACACCACACCACACACACACACACACACACACACACACACACACACGCACACACACACACACACACACACGCACACACACACACACACACACACACGCACGCACACACACCACACACACACACACACACACAACACACACACACACACACACACACACACACACACACACACACACACACCACGCACACACAACACACACCACACACACACCACACACACACACACACACACACACACACACACAACACACGACACACACACACACACACACACACGCACACACACACACACACATACGCACACACACACACACACACATCACGCACACGCACACACACACACCACACACCACACACACACACACACACAACACACACACACACACACACACACACACACACACACACACACACACACGCACACACACACACACACACACACACACACATACACACCACACAAACATATAAACATACAAAAAAAAACAAAAAACACAACAAAAACACACTCGTATACGCACACACACACATACATATGGATAGAAAAAAAAAACACTCGTACAGACACACAAACACATCTTTACATTGACACTGTAAAAAAAGGGTTCATGCCAATTTTGTCGTGTCATTTCCTTTATTTCCACCTGTTTTCATTCGTTCATTTCCTTCCATTGATGAATGTAATGATAACTATGATAACAATGATTAACCTGATCTTATCCACACCAACTATGGCAACATGAAATAGATAGCATTATGTAAAACACACACACACACACACACACACACACACACACACACGCAAAATAGACTGAAAAAAGATTACCTCAGTATCCCCTGTACTATTTACGTTATAGACGATAAATGTGAAGCTATCGATTATAGATTTGTTTTCTTGTTTTTCATCCGACACATTTAATCAAATTGATCGCTTAAGTAATAAATCAAAGTCTTTAGGATTTCAACGCGCCCTAAGAAAGTTATCCCAGAGATGAAAGAAAACGGGTTTGTTTGATAAATGATAATAATGATGATAATAATGATGATAATGATAATGATAATAATAATGATAATAATAATGATAATAATGATAATAATATGATAATAATGATGATAATAATAATGAAAATAATGATGATAATGATGATAATAATGATGATAATAATGATGATAATAATGATAATAATAATAATGATGATAATAATAATGAATAATAATGATAATAATGATAATAATGGATGATAATAATAATGATAATAATGATAATAATGATAATATAATAAATGATAATAATAATGATAATAATGATGATAATAAATGATAATAAATGATAATAATAATGATAATAATAATGATAATGATGATAATAAATGATAATAATATTGATAATAAATGATAATAATAATGATAATAATGATGATAATAATATTGATAATAATTGATAATAATATGATAATGATAATAATAATAATGATAATGATGTAATAATAATGACAATAATGATGATAATGATAATGATAATAATGATGATAATAATGATGATAATAATGATAATAACGATGATAATGATAATAATAATGATGATAATAATGATAATGATAATGATAATAATGATATATGATAATAATGATAATAATAATGATGATAATAATGATAATAATGATGAAATAATAATGATAATAATGATGATAATAATAATGATAATAATATGATAATAAAGATAATAATGATAATAATAATGATGATAATCATGATAATAATCATGATAATGATGATGATAATGATGATAATGATAATGAAGATAATGATAATGAAAATGATAATAATGATGATAATAATAATGATAATGACAAAAATAATGACAGACGACTGACAGGTCAAACCAACAGAGATAAGAATGGTTATACTAATAGCGATGGTGATGAAAATAATAATAATAATGATAATAACAATAACAATAGTGATAATGATAATAATGAAAATCTTTTCAATGCTATTGCTACTACTGCTATTACTACTACTATCACTAATGATGAGGATAATAATAATAGTAATAATAGTAGTAGTAGCGATGATGATGATGACAACCATTATGATGATGAAAATAATGATGATGGTGATGATGATAATAATAAAAATTATGATAATAATGATAAAGAATAATGATAATAGTAAGGTAAAACTAATGATATTAATGATACTATTACTACTAATAATAATCATAATAGATATATCTTCAATATCAACAACAGTAACAACAACAATGATAATAATAATAGTAATAATGATAATTGCTATTATCATAATGATGATGATGATGACGATGATGACTACAATAATAATCATGATAATTATAATGATAATTATAATAGCAGTGTTGATGTTGAAAGTAGTAATAATAATGATCATATAAGGATAATAGCAATAATAATAGTAATAACATAAATAATCATAATGAGAGTAATAATGATGATAATAATAACAAGGATGATAATGATATTAATACCAGTCGCAACAATGACCATTGCAATACTAAAAATGATAAAGATAATGATATCAATAACATTAAGCATTTAGTCTTTAAAAGATAATGATATCAGTAACAGAATGATAAGAATTTACTATTAAAAGATAAAAAATGTGACTTTATCGGAAAGAAATGTATCGTCCAGAGTGCAAGATGACTTCCTCGAAAAAATCCGGTCAAAAACTCGAAAACTCACGACCAAAAATCCCGCCAAAAGTCACGACCAAAAATCCCGCCAAAAGTCACGACCAAATCTCTTGTAACAAAAATCACGACCAAAATTCCCGCCAAAAGTAACGACCCAAAAGCCCGCTAAAAGTCAAAACCCAAAAGCAGCGACCAAATGCGCATAAGTGACCTTGGTTTCCATCTCGCTTTAACCGCAGTACGGAAGGTCACGGATTTCTGTATCATCCTATTATGGCATTCCATAGGGACTTCCTGTCTGTCGAAAGTGCGGACCGTAGTCTTCGTGTTCTGCTTATAAACCTTCTCTTTGTCTACTTTTACTCCCCGTAAACACACATCCTTTATGTTTTCTAATCATTTTTTTTCAATCTATAATTTTCAAAAAGTCTTCATCTTTTATTCGCTGGAGTTGGCAAAGTTAACTTCAGCGTTCTCCCTTCAGTTACATCAGTGACTTTGATCTTTATTGACTCTCCATGTGCGTCTATATAGAAATAGTGTCCAAACATACGGTTTAATTATTCTCTTTCTGTCTGTTGTCTGAGGTCTTTTTGTTCTTTCAATTCGATTTCGGCTTCCAATTTCCATCACTTTGCTTCTAAATGTGCGTGTGTGTGTGTGTGTGTGTGTGTGTGTGTGTGTGTGTGTGTGTGTGTGTGTGTGTGTGTGTGTTGTGTGTGTGTGTGTGTGTGTGTGTGTGTGTGTGTGTGTGGTGTGCGTGTGTGTATGTGTGTGTGTGAGAAGTGCGAATAGAGCATTCCAACCCAACACCTAGACAGCCAGGCATGTCCGGCCAGTAGTACAACACCTGGCGAAGATAACGGATGGTGTTGATTTGCAGTGCGGTTGAGGATAATCAGGCAAGTGCAATGCAGAAATAACGCAATGCCAGACAGCATACGTGAAGAGCAATTCTGAGTAGTGTGGGTAACCAGTTAAATCACAGGAAGAGGAAACATGTTTTCTTAGAAAAGCACTTCACGAGTGAATGATTCTTTTTATATCAAACCATCACATTTGACGAAATAAATTACAAATTCCTTATAAAGATTTCCGCGTATAACAATTTAACCAGCTCACCGTGTCCGATTTCATATGCATTTCTTTGAA